CAAGTAGCCTATACATACATTGTTATTTAATCATTTTATTTTCAATGGCAGCAAATAGCAATGTAACCAAATGTAAGCATTCATGTGTGAACACATCTCAACAACTATTCTGCCTTTCTTTCACATCTTGAAAGTCAGATAACACAAAGAACAAGCCATCTAAAAGCTAATTACATAGAAACCGATCAATGTTCTCACCTCAAGACTCAAATCTTAAATGTGACTTAGTGAGGGTAATGAAAAGTCGTCTCACATTTAAGTTCAACACACATGAAACAGGCTAACGAAAAAAATCAAGTTGTCTCTTAGTATCTGATGATAGCTCTTCAGTGTTACGAGCCAGGCAAACATTAGCAAACTCGGTCTTCTTCTAGGGGCAATTATGTTTTCTGCTATTTTCATAACACAGTCTTTGATAAACTCACTTTCCGTAAAAGGTTTGTCATGTTTAGCAGTTAGCATGGCCACTTGGTAGCTTACTTAGATGATGTTTTCATGTGAAAAGGACCGCTGCTGTGGCCAAGTTATCTTGGAGTTGCTTCACTTTTCTAGCACGGTCGCTCTCTGATAGCTTGTTGTAGCATTAGCATGTTTGGTCTCGTAGTGTCTCTTTACATTATATTCCTTAAACAAGGCAACAGTCTCATGACTAATTAGGCAGACACAGTTGTTTCGGTTTTCGGTGAAAAAAATATTGTGGTCTCCACCTCTCCTGGAAGCGGCGGGTCAGGTCAAGGGTCAGAGCCAATGTCAAACAGCCAGACAGTTACAGAGTGGTGCTGCCACCATGAGGTAAAAAGAGGAATTGCATGTTGAATTTGTATGATTTATTCATTCCGTTTTGACTGTGCTGGCGGGCCATAAATAACGCATTTTAAGACAGAAGGTGCGGGCCATATAAAATCTGACCTCAGGCCGTGATTGGCCCGCGGGCCGGACTTTGGACATGCCTGATGTAGATTCATTAAAATGCACAAACGGATACAGTGTGTACAGTAAGATAACATGAAATCTTTCTCCTTTTTAAACGCAGTCACTGCCTTTTTTTCCCCAGGACATTATAAAGTATATTTAATGCAGATGTCGGGCAAACTTAACGAGGAAAAATTTGTAAAATGGCGTGTCCTTCAACAAAAGCTGGACATATTTCGTGATACATCCAGAAATCATAACAAACAAATGGCGGCGATGTACTACTGCACAATCTGAAAGAGAACCCTGGTGATGAAATTGATGTTCGTGATGATGGTGGTTACAAATAATGACGGACACATTTCTGCCAAAAAACGAATGGAAACTTTCCAAATGGCTGCATATTAAACTCATCATTCAGATAGTTGGAAGCAGGAAACTGTGAAGAAGGAGCAACATTCCTCCCTCAAACCATGAGTTTCCCTGTTGGTCTGATAACAGCCGTGCTGCAACCCAGCTGACCTCGTTTCGAGGGCTTGTTTCAGCGGGCATCTGCGCTGCTAAAGTGCCCTTGAGCCGGACAATAAACTCATGCCATCTCTAGGAAACGCTGGTCTGCAGCTGACCCAGACGAGCGGAAATAAACAGAGTCCGTCTGCAGGGAACTTTTACTGTGGTGAATCCAATCTACAAAATATCTAACGTGGCTGTATGCAATAAAATCCACTGTAGGTCCTCACAGCAGCTGCACTTTCTCATAAGCCAGGTGATGTCTGCAGGCTTCTCACCTACTACTGAGGGGAAAGCATCTGAAAACCCATACTCCCCTCCAGCCCCATGGTGCCCCCCCCCAAAAAAAACAAATCTGGCAACTGTTAGTTGGTAGCTACCTACTTAACTAGAAGCGTCACAAAACCATCTCTGTGTTTTCTCCCAAAGCACAGAACAAGCCCCGCTCTGTTCCCCTCCCTGTGCCATCGGCCGACTGGACACAGCACCCCCCTCCTCCCAACGTTCCTGCAGGTCAGGAGCTGTGCATAAGCTGCTGCTCCCTCCTATCACACCCTCACATCTGCCATCGGGGTTAGAGTCAAAGTCAAAAGTAATGAATGCACTAAAAGCAACGATGATATCGTTGCTTTTAGGGAGCATCCACGTAATCATTTTATATTAATCTCGGAAGCCTCTTGCAACTTGATTGTATAGATTCGTGTTTTGGAGCACTGTGCACGCACGCACACAAATCGGACGAGCACATTATTCCCAATGTGTGACCACACCGGCACGCATGTACGCGCTCGCGCACAAATTTCACACATTTTGAGGAATGTGACCCCCGGGCCAGCGTAGCACAGAGGAGTAGGAAGTGGGAACGCCGGGCTGGAAACGATGTGAAAACAATGGAGCGGCTCTGCGACTTGCAGTGTGTGTGAGCGCTCGCATTAAAACGGATTTCAGCAAAGGAAGGTTCTGCGGGAGAGCGGCAGAACCAGGAAGTGTGGAGGGCGGTGCAGTTCATCTGTGTGTGTGAAAAGAAATACATTTGGAGACCATTTGCTTCCTAACGAGCTGGAATGGGTGTGCAGAGGATTTCTGCTGAGTGAAATTAAAGCTGTGTGTGTGTGCGTGAACGAATGAGACGGGTACGATCATCCGGCGAATGCGCGTCAGACCTTGAGCTGCTGCAGTCTGAGCTTCTCGTCCTCCATGTCTCTCCTGGCTCGGTCCTGGTCCTCCTGCAGCC